ATACACACATACACACACACACACACACACACACACACACACACACATATATATATATGGCTCTTTTTTTTTTTATTTTTTTTTTTATCTTACATATTTTCTCTATAGTCTTGCTCTGGGTCGTGTCATTTCAGCAGGTGCTTTTCTGAGATTCATGTCATTTGATTTCAGGACTCACCAACGGTTTCAACAAGCATAAAGACGGCAGCTCTGACTCCGAGAACAGCCCCTGCCCTGTCCTCCAAAAAGAAATGTAAGACATGGTGTCCCTGTGGTCGTCGCTTGTCTGCCTATAGTCATGATACACAATACACTGACAATAACACGTGCTGTCTTACAGCAGCTCACCGCCCAAAAGAAGCCTCGGGAAACCGGCTCTTTCCAAAGTTCCCTACATGGAGATAGTCAATGGAGACTCAGATTACACTGGTATGTCTCTGTTTTTGACAGAAAATGAAATTTATTGGGGGGTTTTTCCTTCCTATCTATAGGAAAATTATATTTGTATTTTGGTTGGTTGCATGAATGCTTCCTCTGTCTGAGCATTAAACCAGTCGGTATGTCATGTATTACCTATCCGTGCAGATAAAGAACCTCTCTGCATTCAGCCAATCAAATTTTCCTGGAAGTTGAGAAAACAAACCAATGGTTCTATGACTCTGCTGCTGTTTTGCAGGGAACTTCAGCCAAATATCAGAGGATGAGACAGAGCTGGAGCCTCTAGATCTGGTTTGGGCAAAGTGTCGTGGATATCCCTCCTATCCTGCTCTGGTAATCCCCTATTTCATCACTTCTGAAGCTGCAGCTTATGTGGGCTGTCAACAGGTGGAGAAGCTTTTAAATAGGCAGCTTCAATTCCCTGAGATTTTGTTACAACAGTGTGAGAGTACAAAGCTAAGAACAAACCTGAAATCCCTCTTTGACTGTCTGTTTGTACCAGATCATTGACCCAGAGATGCCAGAGGAAGGCCTGCTGCACAACGGGGTACCCATCCCCATCCCACCCAAAGACGTCCTGCTCCTAGGGGAGCAGAGACAGGAGGACACCAACGAGAGGCTGTACCTGGTGCTTTTCTTTGACAACAAGCGAACATGGTGAGTATCAAACAGTGCTCCTCTTATCACCGTGTCAGACAAACCATCATTGAACAGCAGTGTTTAAGACTCTTGAGCTGCTGAGTTAAAACCAGAGGTGATTTTCAATTAAAATGAGCAGCCTGCCTAAACCCATCCCCTATGAGAGAGAGCTGCATGTGCCAATAGAGTTTGGGTGTGCAGGTGAACATCCTATAGTTAATGTTGCTAAAGTAAATCATTGGATCCGCAGTTTATTTAAAACACTGAAATCGAATGGCATCAAAAAGAACATGAGGACATCTCTCTCCCTCTTTCTACCATGCCACACTCACCAGTCTGTCAAAGTGACCATCAGCAGCACCCGGCTTAAAAAAACATCTATAAAATGTTCCATCTTCGGCCGACAGGATTTGGCATAAACTTGGTAGATACCGCTTTTGCGTTTTGCGTTCAAGCTGCAACTATACAGTTCTGTACAGCAGGGGTATCATCTCCCACACATCCAGTACCCAACCAATCAGCTCCAAAGGTTACTCATATTGAGATACCAGGTAGTATTTATACTAAGTTGGTGAAAATCCGTCCATGCATTGTTGAGTTATTTTACTCAACATCTCTGCAAACAATTCAAAAAATCTACCTAAACACAGTCTGCATGTGTCTCTGGTTTTTTGCAGGCAGTGGCTCCCACGTGAAAAGGTGACACCCTTGGGTGTAGATGACACAGGGGACAAGCTGCGTATAATGGAGGGCCGCAAGTCCAGCATCCGCAAGTCTGTCCAGGTGGCATACGACCGGGCTATGATCCACCAGAGCAGAGTCAGCCACAGCCAAGGCTTTGTGGCCTCCAACTTCCTGTAGAGGGCGACAGTGAGCCCCCCTGTGCACCCCCACAGTCAGCCACTATGCATCCATCTTTGGTCTGAAAGCAGCGGCAGGGGCGAGTCCCACTGCTGGCTTCATTTATATTCACACTGTGGTCTGAAGAGGTTGCCATGGCAGCACAGAATCCTGAACTGTAGATTACCAAACCACTAGTGTCGGACGCAGAGTGGTTGTGTTTGCCTTGTGTTGAGGATGTGGAGCTCCAGATGCTGGTGAAGTCACCTTCAGGTCCCAGGTCTCTGAGAGTGTGGAGGTTTTTTCTCTCTCCACCTCTGTGTGATGAGACTGTGTCTGGATCAAATGTAGAAGAAGTTCCCTCTATTTTGTTAATGCTACTGCCAAGGAATCAAACTGTCAGAAAAGAGATTTGACATATTTATATGAACCGCAGAAGACAAATGAATGGATCACTGCCATCTTTTATACAATAGCTTTTTACATTTTAACCTTTTACAAAGACACTTGTATATTATAAAGGCACACTTTGTGTACATATGTATGTGTATTATCAGAAACTCAATTTTAATTTAACGTTTCCGTTTTTAAAATTGCGTATTTCAATCAGCCCACGAGGGGCAAAGTGAGGCTGTGTATATTTGTGGAGATGAAATAATTCCTGACTTGCTGCAGTGTACTTAGGTTGTTTGATGTAATGTAATTTTGTTGTGTGTGTATGTGTGCGTGACTAAGAGTGTGTGTCTGTGCGTGCGTGCGTGTGTGTACATTGAGAGCATACAACACAATGAACTGTTCTTTATATTTGAATTCTCTTTTTTAATACAGAGAGAAATAATTTATTTATGGAAGACAGAACTATAGAAATAAAGCTATATTGGTTAAAAGTTGAGAATTAAATTTTATTTTAAACAAATGGAGTGAGGTTTTAAAAAAATAAAACATACAGCCAACATTTGAACAGATTAATTTACGTTTGGTTTATGATTTGACTCAGAACCAATCGCCATCATTCACTGACGACCCCCCAGAAGTGTCTATTTATTGTTGAGAGCCCCATTTTATCAAATGGACAAATACACCTTTATAAGCTTGTACTACCTGCATATTTCACCTGCTCACCAAATATTTTGTCTGAACCGGTATTTCCTCCTTTTTGGGAAATAAATGCTGAATTAAAAACATTTTGAGATATTTTAACTGCTGTTTTGTGTTTTTCTAGGGAAATTTCAGTCCAAAAAAAATTACTTCCCTGCATATTTGTTCTATTCTAAACACACTTATCAAAGTGAGAAGTATGTCGGCTAAAAACAATTATGAAAAGACCTATCAACATTTCTTTGGTCAAAAAAACTAGAGCAGTCCAGGATCACATTCAGTGCTAAAATTCAATATTGAGTGTTTGACTGAAATCATGTGAAAAATGTCATCAATATCAGATGAAAGCTTTTCCAAAATATCACATCCTCCAAGGCACTTTTTGTCCAATTCCTCAGCTCAGACCTGAGCATCAAGTGCATTTAACTCATGAAACTCTCCAGAGGTGAAGAAGGTGGTGTGTCTCTCCGTCAGGGTCCAGGCTGCTGTCTGGTCAGCAGGAGGTAATTGTGACGGAGGGTGCGGAGCTCCGTCAGTCTGCCCAGCAGGCAGCCAAACCGCTGTGGTCCCCCTCGCGTGGCGTCAGGCTGGGCCCCACACACCCTGGACAGCAGGTCCAGGATCAGCTCCTGCATTTTCTCAACACAGCTGGCGATGTGCAGGGATGCCCGGTCTGTAAGACAGGGACACATGAGCGCTGACTCTTAGTTTCCATATCCTAACACTGATTCGATATATTCAACTTGCTGAACAGCTACATTCATCTGTTCAAGCTGTGATCAAATCTACAGGCTCATTCTGAGTGAATTATTCAGGCTTGTATTTGATTATCTGAACCTGCTGGAGAGCTGCAGATAGGTTTATACTGACTATTTACACTTAAACAGAGAACGTCCATGTTCTCACTTGATTGGATTAATTCAAACCAAACACACGTTCCTGCTCTGACCTGAGCAGAGCAGAGCTGTGGCAGCGAGCAGGCTGTACTCTGCCTCCGTCACCCGCAGAGTTTTCATGCTGTGGAAGAAGGTGAGCACCGGGCCGAAGAGATCCTCACTGCTTCCTGTTCGCACAAACAAACGGGAAAGGCCATGTTCATTTTCATTTGTCTGTCAGCAGAAAGGTTGCTGAAGTGATTAGCACCAAACTGTGGAGGGATGGGGTGTGGAGCAGGGGTTAGAAATTGCAAATTATTTTCTGAGTGAGTGTATTTCTGAACTTACCTGAGTCGACCAGCGTCCTACTGTGGATGTTTTCCTTTGAGTCTACATTTCTCAGCCAGTTGTGTGTTGATGTACTGAAAACCTGCAGGGCTGATAGTACAAAGAAAATAAATGACTCAAAGACTCATAAAGTCATAAATCTTGATTTTTGGGTGTGATTCTTTTCAGATTTTTGTCTCCTGCCAATGTATTTACCTGGAATCGGGCTTGAGGGATTATTGGAGAACTGCTGAGCTGAGAGCAGAAACATGATCTCCAGTGAGGAGACAGACAACAGAGAGCTTTGATCGGAAAAATCCAGGAGCTCAAAACCTGGAACAAATACAACACAGCTTACTGCTTCTGATATAACATAGTGTTAGCATCATGCACTACACACAATGGTTATGACAACAGGTGGTACTGCATTCAAATACACTGCATTTCTTATCCTTTAGCATGAGTCTAATTCTTATAATATTCAAACACAATGTGTCTGTTTGAAATTTATAGAACATATAATATAAATTCATTATTTTTTATGTGGTATTTTCATATTTCATGTAATTCCATTTGGAATGAAGCAATTTATAACATGAAAATAGCACCTTGTTAGCTTTGACCTTTTCATGGGATTCATTCACAACAACAAAAAAATAAAGAATAAAGTTAGTCTTCTCTATTGTTATCAATATTTTGGTAGAAAATGAAAGTTTCTGAAACTTTTAATATTTAAAGGTCACTGTTTTATATTTCACAAGGGCTTTTTATTTCCATGAAGCTCACAGATCCACTCTTCTTTATTTTCTTTAAATGTTAGAATCTCACCCTTGTTAGGGTAATAAACAGAATACAATAGATTTCGAGGGTCACATATTTCTGTCCGTCGTACCTGGTACTGTCCTGGCAAACTGCAGCAGTCTGTCCAGGTGTGGTGACACGACATGAGACAGACCCTCCACTTCCTCTGTGTAAGGCCACTCGAACAACTGACCAACACACAAGAAACCATGAGGACAACATGAAAGATGTTGATTTGGGAGCGTTATAGTTTCCACACTGTGACCTACCCTGCTGTGGCTGCTGCTCTGAGCTCTGTACAGACGATGGGCCTCCACCATCCGGTCCACTATGTACTTCTGCTCCTGGGTTAAACTGGCGGACAGAGTCTGATGGAAGTTAACACAACATGAGATTAAACAAATGTCTTTAATCTGATATCACTCAAAAGGTGTTTAGTTTGTCCAGTCTGGACTAATGTAAAAAAACACGACGGACACCGTAGAGAGGGTCCCCTCAATGTAAATATAAAGTATTTAAATATAAAGGGCCTTTTCTGGGGTAAAGAAAACTACAATTCATACAATTTAGATGAAATGAACTAGTGAAAACATCATGAGAATTATTCTACATTGAATTTCTGACAATAGATCCCTTTCACCTAAATCTTACACACTGGACCTTTAAGACTTATTCATAAAGAAATGCTGAGGCTGATGGGAATGTGTCCTAAATGATGCCTCTGGCTGTTGAGATAGCTCAGGCTACAAATGACCAACAGCGCCACCTCCTGAACCATCATGTAACTACATCCTTTCAGACAAAGTAACCAGTCACAGTGGTTCCTGCCGCACCTGTCCAGGTAGTCTGCTGGTGGAGCTGACCCTCCTGCTGTCCGTCAGCTCCTCTTCCTCCTGTCCTCTGCCTTTACCTCCTTTCCTCAGTCGCTTGGACTGACACTGCACCTCGGTCAGAAGGCCTGGGGAGAGATATATACATTCTCAGATCAGTTAAATCATTCAAATACATTTTGTTTCAGGAGGTACTGGTTTCTGGCACCAATCTTTTGCTCCCATCAGTTTGATGCAGCTCAACAATGTGATAATAATAATAAACTGTATTTCTATAGCGTCTTATAAAGCCAGAGTTACAAGGTGCTAAGTGCGAAGACAGCCAATCATACAAAAGCCAGAAAACCGTCGAATAATATAATAAATAAAATGTTTAACTATAAATAATATAAAAACTATTCACCAAAAAAAATTAGTTTTTAACTCGTTTTTAAACTGACAGGGATTCTGCTGATCTGATGATGAGTTAGTTTCACAGCGTAGGAAAAAAAGAGTCTTACACTCAGCCAGCATTCCCACAGCACGGCATTTCCTCAGCCGACAGTCTTGACACTTCCTCCTCATGTACATGTCCATCTCACACGCCCCCCCACTCTTACAGTGATACACAGCCTTTTTAGTGACACTACGCCTGAAGAAACCTGGGGTGAAGAGGACAGAGGGACCAGGTGAGGTTGAACCTGAGAGTAAATGACTCTAAAGGCAAAGACGGTGAGGTGAGGAATACCTTTGCATCCCTCACAGGTGAGAGCGTTGTAGTGATACCCCGATGCTTTATCTCCACACACCACACACAGCTCGTCCTGACCTCTGCTCTTCCCTCCCGACCCCAACCGCGACCTCCGCCCCAGAGGCAGCCCGACTGCTCCGAGCCCATGACCCAGGCCCGCACAGTAGGGCTCGGGGCCGGTGTCACAGGGGACCTCCAGACAGTGAGAGTTGTAGTGGTACGGGGGATGGCAGAGCTGGGAGGACGAAGAGGAGGACGGTGAGGAGGTAGAGGAGGGCGAAGAGCCGTAGAGGGAGAAGGGCAGGTTTGCAGAGGTGTACTGTTGTTGGCTGTAAGGGAGCAGCTGGAAGTCAGGTTCCTGCAGGGGGTAGCCCAGAGGGTCTGCCAGCATGTCTGAGATGGGAAAGGGTGGCAGTGCAGAGGTTAATATTTTGTGTTCAGATTTGTGATTTGTATCCTTTACAAAATCAAATGTTAGAATATGATTCAAACATCAGAGTTCAGAATTTAAGACCTGATCTTTAAAAAGACAAGAACATGAAAGTTGAACTTCTGAGAAAACTGTCAACTTCCAGCAGAAGGTTAGCTGCCTCTGTCTGTTCTATAAGAGCAAACTGCCTCCAGTTAGCCACTGTACTACACTTTAAAGGATACGAAACAAAGGTATGAATTGAGGAATTAATTGATCTTAACAGTATATCCACCTTTTTGAGTCAAAGCCACACACACAGTCCTACTGCTAGTGTTAATCTACAGCTGAAAATAATCCGAAAATATAATATTCACTTCTGTTTGACTAACGTTTGCAAAAAACTGCTGTTTTCAGGTTTTTCGGGAAAATACTTAGCCTTCTCTTTCTTTTTTAATGAAACTGTATATGTGTGTGTGATCTGTTTTTAAAAATGTACATCTTCAATAGGAACACATGCTCTTGGCAGGGGAAAAAGAATTACAGACTATTATGCTTGGTTTAAAGGAATAGAGTTATCCTTTAAGACGGATCCCATTTTATTGTGGGGGTTTTCAAAAGTACAAAGTTCTTACTATTACTCACAAAGAAATGTGAATGGGGTATTTTTACTTTCACTCTCGTACATTGCTGTCTATTCATTTGTACATAAACTTCAGTAAAATGTTTGAGTACTTCCTCTTCCACTGTGAACAAGTGCATAACTGTCATCTTAGAAAGTTGAGGTATAGGAATTATCCCTCTGTAGCAGTGATTCCTGTCCTGATCTGAGCTACAGGAGGAAAAAACAACTATGGAGGGAGACATTGGCAGAAATGTGAATTAATATGTGAAGTCAAAGAGCGTGACAGGAATGTGGTGTGAGTTGACTTGTGTGACTTTGGTGCATTTATAACTCTTGGGGGATACAATAAGAAACCATGAGCAGAGCGAGACCTTGTGAACTGGTCCAGAAACAGGATGCAGCTGAGAGCTCCCACTGCCATTTAAGAGTTTTTTCATCTTTTTTTTTCCTGGGCTCGTCATTGAGACTGCACTGGTCGCTGCGTGTCGTGACGGCATTAAAACATCTGAGTCCTGCTGAGAAAACATGTGTGACCACTGGCAGCTTTTTAATGTACAGCTGGACCAGAACTACTGGGACTGCTGTGGGATCTGTAATGTAAAAGGAGAGCCCACCCAATTGTCTCTGTAAAGGGTAAAACAGTTTAAAACATGAAGATGAGGGTTGATAATAATACTCAATCAGTTATTATCTGCAAAATGGTCGAAGAATTGCTTTAAAGCTTGGGTTGGTAATCCTGGAAATGATACACTTGAAAAAAAAATGCAACTGATTCCACCACTTTCCATCAGCGCTCTTGTCAAAGCTACGCCTCCAAAACACATGAACGAGGAGCCGACTTTTCTGTGACTCGCTCGCTAATCTCGGACTATCTGCCACAGACACCTTTTTTCAGACAACTGTATTTGTTGATGGATTGTGAAGAGGATTTCTCAACAAATAAAAAAAATTGTGCTTCAGAAACATCTCACCATCTTTACCTTTAAGCGCAACTTACTTATGTGATTAGGTAATGCATGTCCATAAAGTCAGGGGAATCATGACTTTGAGTCAAGATTCAAAAACACTGTATCCAACTCTTCCCATAATGCAACTCAAGGGAGGTTTGTGCTCAGATCCTCCCCATCTTATAAATGAAGGTTTCTCTACACCTCTCTTTCATGAGACTGCGTTCTGTTAGAACGTCACAAAGCTCAGGTTTAGATCATCCTAATGACCAATGATGGATTACTTAATGTTGCTACTGTAACTAAAGTGCAGAAGTCAACAGGTCCCCCTCTAGGTCAAGTCATAGCAACTCCAAATAATAGTTTTCCCTCCATGAAGCTTCCTCGCTCTCTCATCATCTCCAAGATTTGCCTGTGTTTGACAGTCAGCTGTGGACGCTGAGTCTGTGAGTTGAGGCTCTGCACCTTAACTGCTGTGCTCCTCTCATGTGTCCCTTCATTTCACTGACACAACCAGCTCACAGCTTTACTCGATGATGTTTAACCTGATTTTTTTATAATAACGGTGGAGAAATGACTGAAATATTCTCTTCTGTGACTTTAGGGCAAAATAAAACATAATCTAAACCATAATGCCGAAGTGGCCTTGAAAATGTCTGTGCAAGCCACTGTCACGTTAAATCAATCATGAATGACTAATGCAGTAAATGACTCATCAACAGATACTTTCATTTCAACAGGAAGAAGATTTTTATGATGGAAAAACGTACTTAGATTTGGATGGATTGACTCCCCTGCTCTTATCAAGTAAGTAAATAATCATGTAACGGTGACTCATTAACCTGTCTTTTGTCTCCTCCCTTTGGTTTTCTCCCCAGATGTTTCCCGTCTTCATCAGACTGTGACAGCAATTATTTGGTGGGAGGAGGGGGGGGGGGTCCTTGCTTCCTCGGCGTGTGACAGAGCTGTGGTTCGCACTGTTTGTAAACCATTCCAATGCTGTCTAAACACTCCTCGGCCTCCCCTCCATCCCACGCACGCAAGGAAGCCAAACAACACCCGCAAACCACCCCCCATAGCTCCCCCCACGCCTCACCCCACTCCTTAAGGCCAAGAGGGGAGACAACAGGGGGGAATTTGTTGATGATATACGTCAGTATCCTCCCATCTGTGAATGCTGCGAGTCGGCTCAAAAACTGTTTCCTACATGACATGAGGTTCTCAAAGGTAATAAAACAAACGCTTGGCAATCATTCATCAACCAAGTGAGGTTGTGTTGTCACGAGAAGCTGCAGCAGCAAAACTAAGTGTAATGTAATGTTTCTGAAAACGGATTCTCTTTTGTAAACAAGTTACTTCATGCTTCTTTAAGTCAACAGTGGAAAAATCTGCAGTTGGAAATGATCATATTAATCTACATAATAATAATTTTTGACAAAATGTTATGTATGGAATGAAAATGGTTAATAAAATGCATCAAAACATGAGTGGATATAAAGTATTTCAGTAGTCCCGACACTTTAAATAGTACTGATTTATTACAGATTCCTGTTTTATTAATATATAAAACATGTATTTTCTATATTAAAACTAGCGGTACATAACTGGTATGTATATGCAGTTCTATTGCCCATAACCCAGGTGAAAACTGTCAACAGTTTTCATTTGAACCAAACATGTTTCTGCTGTAGATTTATCATAACATACAGAGACACAGATTCTAGAAAGAGACGTTTGCTTTGGAATTTTTTAGATGCATTGAGTCTAAGTTGTGAGCTCTCTGACAGAAATGTAAAAAAGTTAACAAGCTCTGAGCTGCTTAGTGTTTTCTGTTCATTTGTTGTATTGGACAACTAGAGTCAGGATTTTATTAGAATATCTGGAAAAATGGACAGATTCAAATTGACAGATTCAAATGACGACTGTGATTGTAACTTCTAACGTGGACTTTAAATATATCTGGCAGTAACATGTATTATCACAACACTCCAGTAAAGACAGAGCATCATTAATTCTCTGTAACTGCACTGACCTCACAGCTTCTTTTAGAGAAGCAAAAGAAAGTAGAACGAGAAGTGAGAACAGAAGGAGGAGGAATATTAATCATAAAATGAAGAAGCACAAGAAAGAGAAGTGTCACTGTGGACTCACCGTAGTACTGGAGCTGCTCGCTGGAGCAGTAACCATCCGAGGCGGAGAGAAACCCCCCTGCTGAAAAGCTCATCTCCAACTCTGTCCACTCTCTCATCTGGACACAAGATCCCCTCTTCAGCTACTAATACTGGATCTATCTCTTTACATACACACACAGACACACACAGACAATTACTCACACACATTCACACAGATATGAAGGATCTGGGAAGTGCAGAGACATTCCTTAATCCCCAAGATGCGTGCAGGTCTCTTAGCTGTCCAGCCTGATATCCCAGCCTATTTTTAAAAAAGCAGAGAGGAAAAAGTGCAGCTGAGGCTCTTGGTCAGTGGTGGATGAAGTGCTGGAGGAGGTCTCAATCCGTCCCTCAGGGGGGGACGAAAGGGAAAGCAGGGACACCCAGGAAGGACAGGGATGGGACTGTGGTCCAAACAGCTGGACCTGGCAGGGACTTCACAGATCATGAAGTCAATGTGGATAGATGCAGTGTGTGTGTGTGTGTGTGTGT